CCATTAATAAATACAGGGGGGGGGGGGGGGTTCTGGGGTTAGATCGCGTAAATATATAAATGTGTCGTTCAACCCGCCACCACCCGACACAGCCAATGAGTAATGTTTGTCACGTAAACAGAACGTGGCCAATTCGTCACTAGTACAGCACACCGGTTGTGTGCTGAAGAGCAAAGCTGCAACATTTACAATCGAAGTAGGACGTTTCGCCAGTAATTACTACCGGCATCATCAGGCGGCAGCCAAATTTGGCTGCGATCTAACCCAAAATAAGTAATATTTAAAAATACTTTTTTTTTAAAACACGCTTTAATGAAATGTACCGCACTCGTAATGGCAGAACTCCACGACTCTAGGAAGTGGCCGCAAAGCTTTCCATAACGTGAGGGACCGTGGTGATTTACAGCTAACGTGAGTTGAGCGTGCACAATTAGACCCAAGTCGAAACATAACATATAAAAATGATGGTTTAAACATTGTTTTAAATAGAATATAGTATTGTCATCAGTATGACATAAGTATACCAAGTTTGCAGTCGATACCACATTGGGAAGTGGGTTAAAATTGAGTTACAAGATTTGAGGATACGACAAAAAGAACAACAACAGACAGAGTGAGTTCAATAAAAGCGTGTAATAATAAAAACCTGTATTATGGATGATATAGTATATAAATATTTTTAATATCGTTCCGATATTTCTTCAAATCATCAAATCATCACCAACACACTCTTGATGCATCGCAAATTGACAGGGCGAGCGCAAGGAGGCAGATCCTGCGTGCTTGGTAATCTTCGACAAGGTCCGACTAAAACACACGACACATTTATATATTTACGCGATGCAACCAAAAAACCCTCTATTATGGATAAAACGCACGAGTCGGAATTATTGGGCAGCGTTTCCAAGTCGCGACATCGTCTCTCACCGACGCCCGCATGGGTTTACGATTAGCATTGTTGAGCATTGATGATGATGGCGGCTCCTCTTCTCCCTCCGTGAACACCCACGGTGACTGGCAGACCCGAGACGAGAGAGAGACACAGAGAGAGAGAGAGAGATCGGCGCTGCCCAGAGAGCGGATTCGGTCTTTAATTTGAATTCCGTGCTGGAGAGCGGCTTAATGACGCAGTTGCCACTGAGCGGGTCTCTCTGCTGGGATTGATTCTCAGCGGTAGAGACGCGAGGAGTGAAATTGAGTAGGTGGAGACTCTACAAGGATTCACAAACACACACACAAACAAAGATCCCCCGTATAGCCTTTAACAGATTGTTGACGCAAATGCTGTGAAGGCCGGCACGGCGCACGAAGGGGTTTGTGGCAAGCACCCCAGCGGTGTTGTTTACACATCGCACCAGGTACTCGGGAGGCCCAGGACCGGTTCGGATATTTGCCACTGTTTATTCGTCGTGAGTGGGAATCAAACTGGGAGCGCCGGATTTGTCGCGCAGCGTGCTAATCACTGCGCCACTACTCCCCCCCCACTAACTCATACATAACGCTTGTTGCCAGGCGAGGTGAAATTTGAGGGTATGCCGTGTGAAGTGTCGAAGGTTCGCTGCTGGCAGAACGGACACAGGTGGTATGGGTTAACTTAGATGACTAGCAGCTCAAAATCTGTGTTTTCCTTCCACGTGATCGACTATTTTGCTAAGCGATTCATTATAATCTAAAAAAAACTTGTCATGATAGAGACGCGGAGATCAGAGTAGAGAATGCGGCACAGGCGCGGTCCCCAGCAGAGCCACAGGTGTCCCATGGAGAGTCGTCACCCCAACGCGTGTCCCTTTAAGAGTCGTCACCCCAACGCGTGTCCCTTTAAGAGTCGTCACCCCAACGCGTGTCCCTTTAAGAGTCGTCACACCAACGCGTGTCCCTTTAAGAGTCATCACCCAAACACGTGCCCCTTTAAGAGTCATCACCACAACACGTTTCCCTTTAAGAGCCGTCATCCCCAACACGTGTCCCTTTAAGAGCCGTCACCCCAACACATGTCCATTTAAGAGCGGTCACCCAAACACGTGCCCTTTTAAGAGTCGTCACCACAACACGTGCTCCTTTACAATCCGTGACCCCCAACACGTTTCCCTTTAAGAGCCGTCACCCAAACACATGCCCTTTTAAGAGCCGTCACCACAACACGTGTCCCTTTAAGAGCCGTCACCCAAACACATGCCCCTTTAAGAGCCGTCACCACAACACGTTTCCCTTTAAGAGCCGTCATCCCCAACACGCGTCCCTTTAAGAGCCGTCACCCCAACACGTGTCCCACGAAGAGCCGTCACCCCAACACGTGTCCCTTTAAGAGCCGTCACCCCAACAGTGTCCCTTTAAGAGCCGTCACCCCAACACGTGTCCCTTTAAGAGCCGTCACCCCAACACGTGCTCCTTTAAGAGCCGTCACCCCAACACGTGTCCCATGAAGAGCCGTCACCCCAACACGTCCCTTTAAAAGCCTTCATCCGAATACGTGTCCCTTTAAGAACCGTTACCCCAACGCGATTCGCATGAAGAGCCGTCACCCCAACACGTGTCTGTCCTTCAAAAGCCGTGACTCCAACACGTGTCTTTTTAAGAGCCGTCACCCAAACACGTGTCCCTTTAAGAGCCGTCACCTCAACACGTGTCCCTTTAAGAGCCATCACCCCCATAAGTACTGTTCTCCTTTATGAGTGGAACCCACACGGAGTGCTCCTTTAAGATACCGTCACCTCTACACGTGCGACCTTGAGGTTGATCTCCGCAACAAGTGTCCCTTTTAAGATCCGAAACTTCAACACGTGTCCCTTTAAGAGCCAACACCTCAACACGTGTTCCTTTAAGAGCCAAAACCTCAACACGTGCCCTTTAAGAGCCGTCACCGTGACCGTGCCGCGTGCTCACCTCTTTAAAAGTCGGCAACGACACGTGCGCTGCTTTCGGAGCCATCACTTCAGAACGCGTTCTTCTATGAGCCATCACCTCCTCCTTGCGTGATCCTTTAAGAGCCGCCACGTCCGCAGGTGCCCCATTGGAACCGACCATCTCCGCACGTGCTCCTTTAAGAGCCGTCACCGGCTCGCGCGCTCCTCTGAGAGCCGCCACATCCGCACGTGCCCCTTTAAGAGCCATCCCCTATTCAGAAGCGAATCGACCCGCCGCCTCCCCCTCCACCGCCTTCATTAAACACCCATCGGTGCATTGAACACACGGGCGAGACGTCTGTCTCCCAGTGTCCGATTCACAACCCACGTTGGGACGGAGAGAGGAAGTTTTGTGTGTGTGTGTTTTAAAGGAGCCGTGTGCACCAACTGAGCTAAGAGTGACAGAGCGAGCCGTCAAAGTCATCCAATCACCGACGGTGGAACTCGCGGCTCCCCCAGTATGTGCGTGCGTGTGTGTGTGCGTGTGTGTCTGTGAATGTGAATGTCTAGGGAGCTATAGTGTAGCGGTTAGTGCGCTGTGCTATGAACCAGCCTCAAATGAGTACCTGGTATGATGTGTAAACATCGCCACTGGGAAACAAAGGCGGCCGGGCTTGGTGTTGGCCACCCCCCTGGTGTGCCGTGCCGGCCTTCATAGGTGCACACTAACAGCACTTGCCCCAAAAGTCTGTTAGGATTATATGGGGGATCTTTGTCTGTTCATGAGTATTTCTGTTTTTCAGTTTGTTGGCCTACCACCGAACCTCAGATGAGCTCTGTATGGTGCGAAAAAAGTTAAACATTCTATACATACATATCGCTAACAGCACTTGCCCCAAAACGTCCATTAAGCCTATTCGGGGGATCTTTGTCTTTGTCTGTTTGTGAATCTATGTGTTCGTTAACGCCACCTTTCCCTAAACGTCCATTAAGGCTATTCGGGGGATCTTTGTCTGTTTTTGAGTCTATGTAAATGTGTCTTAGTGTTCGCTAATGGCACTTGCCCTAAAAATTCCGCTTTAGGCTATTCGGGGGATATTTGTCTTTGCCTGCTTGCGAGTCTATGCATGTGTGTCTGTCTAAGTGCTCGCGAATAACGCTTGCCCCAAAATTCCGCCGAGGCTATTCGGGGCCTCTTTGTCGTTGCGCGGTCCGTGCGTTCGCGCGCGCGCGTTAATGGCAAACGCATTAGGGGGCTCGCGGTGACGTCGTGTACGTGTCGGGGAGGGGGGCGGGGGGGTGTTTGTTCGCGCCCCCTTTGCTCGCTTGCTGCCGCCGTTTTAGAGGTCGTTTGCTAAACTCGGTGCAGCACCCCAAACAAAAAGAACACCCCAGCACACACACAGAGACGCACACACACACAGACGCACAGACACGCAAGAGGGACCCTGGCAGCGCGCGTCAAAGTCACCGACCCCACGCCACCGTTAGCCCGCAGAGGAACGCGGTTTTCACAAGAGCCCCCCCCCCCCCCTTGTGCTTTGGCTTTCTTATTTGGGCAAGCAGCTCGCCCAGTTTGTCAATCCACGCCGTGGTGACGGGGGGGTCGAGCGGGCTGCCCCCGTGACGGACACATGTTTGGAGAGGGCCTCTTCATCCCCCCAGCAGTGAATTGGCAGAGGGCCGAAAATTACGACTATTTATTATAACGATGCTTCATTTATATATATAGCGTCGTCGTTGGCGCTAATTTCATCTCAGACTCGCTGGAAGGCAGCAGCCAAGCATTGAGCCGACGTAACTAGAAATTGCCAAAGCTCTGCAGTCCCCTATATGTTGAACTTATTTCGCACCGTACTTAGCCTACCGTGCTAATCGGAAGGACAACAAACTAAACACAAAATAAGTTCTAAAGAGATGAGTTTTCAACCGAGATCATTTAAAGCGCATCTGAAAGCGCCGGGCGGTGATGCGGTGACCACCGTGTCTGTATGTTGTGTTGTTGCTGCTGTTGTTGATGTTTGGGTTTTTCTTGTGGGTGTTTTGGTTGTTGGTGTCTTTGTTGTTGTAATGGTTGTTTTAGCGGCTGGTGTGTGTGTGTTGTCGTGGTGGTTGTTGTTGTTGTGGTGCTGGTGGTGGTTGCTCCACGTGTCGCACCTGGCGCGCCCAGCTGTGGCTCGTGGTGTCCGAGGACGTGCTGCAGTCCGAGTTCTTAAACGCACCGATGGGGCCGGGTCTCTTACAGGGAACCTGGGGGCACATGGACACAGACTTGTATACAAACAAAGACAACGATCCCCCCGTATAGCCTTAACGGACTAAATCTTGACTCAAAGCTTTCGTGACTGCAGGAATACACATTCTATGGGCATTTCGGTAAAGCCACGTAGATAGAAAAATAATAAAAAATATCACGACGTTTCGATCGCAATACAACACAAGCAATCGGCTTCAGGTGAAAGACCCATAGAATACCTTAACGGACTGTTGGGGCAAGTGCTGTTAGCGAGCACCTATGAAGGCCGGAACGACACGGGAGGGGGTGGGTGGCCAACACCACGCCTCGCCGCCTTTGTCTCCCCAACGGCAATGTTTACACAGCGCACCAGGTTACTAATTTGAGGCCGAGTTGACCTAGATGAGCCCCAGGTCAGGTTCAGATAATCGCCACTGGTATTGGCCGTGAGCGGGAGTCGAACTCGGGTCGCCAGGTTCGTGGCGCAGCGCGCGAACCACTACACAACTGCTCCCCACCAAGATACAGACGCGACGTCAGACACATGAACAAAAATCAACACTACCAATCACCACCAAACTCCCTGCCGTCACTACCACCACCACTGCAAGTCGTCCCGTCGAGGCATCTCTGCTCCATCGCTCAATGCTCTTGTGCCTAACACGTTTCCTCACAGAGGATATTATCGCTACTATTATCTTCCTAGAGGATGGTGATTTGGATTTGTAGAGAAAGCACAGAGAGCCACGCGGGGTGGCAATGCTCAAGTTAGTGACTCACCCCTAGTCACGCGACTCTTTCTTTGGTCGGCCAGTGAGTGAGTGAGTCGTTCACTCACGCGTCGACTCACCTACTCAAATTCTATCACTCACGCATTTACTCAGATTCAATGAGTCAGTCAGCCACTCTCTCACTCAGCAGTCATTAACGAATTCAGTCAGTCGGTCATTCGTCACATCACTCCCTCATTCATTCACTCACTCACCCATTCAATCACTCAATCATGAATACATTCGTGCACTCATTCATTCACTCACCGACTCATTTAATCACCCAGTCATTCATTCACTCACTCCATCACTCAGTCCTTCAATCGCTCAGTCATTCACTCACCCATCGGATGATGAGAACGATGATTACTACACACGAATTTACGAAACCTATTCAGGAACATGTGCACACGTACACACACGTCCGCACACACAAGACTTGCCGCAACTGCTGTTTGCGAGCGCCTGTTAAGGCCGGCACAGCGCACAATCAGCTTGTGTGGCCAGGAGCAAACCAAACCGCGTCTGTCTCCCCAGGTGTTCATACACGGCGTACCAGGTACGCACTTTAAGCTAAATCTACCTAGGGGAGGCCCGGAATACGTGTTCATGTCACTCGTCAATGACGTTCAGAGTCGTGGCCGCGGGTCGCCGGGTTTATAGCACAGTGTGCTCACCACTGCGCCACCGCTCCCTCCCCGTAGACTTGACCCTCGCACGCACACCATCGTCGAGTCAAAAATACGCGTGTGTGCGCACACAGCAGCACGCATATAACAACGCCGTGGGTGAGTGGCTGGGGAACAGCTGGTAGCTGCTATGTGTTATATCAGAGCACTGAATCTGTCTGCAATTTTACGCACTTTATTGGGATGGAATTTGTGTGCATAACGCATAACTGTAAGGTTTAAAAACACCGGATTTTAGTTGTGGTTTTTGTTATTGCGCAAGATATTTATTTCGTGTGAAAAAAAACATCTCCCACTTGTGCTAGATCGTATTATTGTGTCAGTATTCGTTTAAGGCTGTTTGCTTATCTTCTCTAATAATAATTAATATTCTATTCACACACTCACAACTCAAGTGAGTCGTAAGCAGCCGCGACGCCTTGGTTTCGTACATCACTTCAAAAATACAATTATAAAAAACCACACATATATATGGAGGAAAGGTGGTAAGGGCCACAACGCATTGCCAAAATGGGGTAAAGGGAAAGTGGTCAAGGTCAGATGGCGCTGTTCTATACAATAAAATGCAACCATCAATCGGTGTAACGGTGAACTATTTCAGCAGAGGCCATCCTAATGCCCGCTTGTTGACGCAAGGGCCGCATGGATCTGTGGTGGCCACGTGGGCGAAGGTCCACTCGCATCATCACATCGACACACACACACGCACGTGTGTATTCATTCAATGATTTACTTTTCTCGTGTATCTATCTATCTGTTGCTCTGACTGAGTGAAAGTCACGTGTAAAAAAGAAATGGCTCAAATGAAATTTAAACGGGGAAAGCTTCAGCCAGTGTCAAGACTCGAGTTATCGGGGAGGGTCCTGCCTGAATGTTTGGCCCAACTTCAATTAACGAGCGGTTTTGGCCTCTCGTGGAAAGGCAACTTTTATTTGTGTGTGTGTTTAGTTTGTTCTCCTTCCCCTCACCTGCGATTAGCACGGTTGGTTGGCTACGTACGGTGCGAAAGAAATCCGACATACATTCAATGACAGTGGAGAACGCAGGAGAAACCATAGCAAGCAATACGACACGGACAGCCCTTTGTATTTGGACAGCAGACCCCCATGTATTAGACGTGCACACAAGACAGAGATCAACCGTATAACCTTAACAGACGTACCACGCATAAACGCCCAAAAACACGTGTGTACAAGTGTTGTTAGCGAGCAGCACCTATGAAGGCCGGCACGGCACACGAGGGGGTGGGTGCCCAGCACCACGCCCGGCCGCCTTTGTCTCCCTAGCGGCAATAACTACACATAGCACCGGGTAGTGATTTGCGGCTGAGTCGACCTAGGGGAGGCCCAGGACCGGTTCGGACGATAATCATCACTAGTATTTGCCATGAGCGAGAATCGAACTCGAGTCGCTGGGTTCGAAGCGCAGTGCCGCTGCATCCTCGACAGAAGGGTGACACACGCAGACACACCACGTGGTGGCGGTGACATCACCGCACGCTCGCTGCACTTTGAGGCCACGTGGTGGTGGCACTGCAGGTGACGCACGCACACCACCCAACACACACACACACCACCCAACACACACACACACCACCCAACACACACACACACACCACCCAACACACACACCACCCAACACACACACCACCCAACACACACACCACCCAACACACACACACACCACCCAACACACACACCACCCAACACACACACACACACCACCCAACACACACACCACCCAACACACACACCACCCAACACACACACACACACCACCCAACACACACACACCCCACCCAACACACACACACCACCCAACATACACACACACCACCCAACACACACACACACACCACCCAACACACACACACACCCCACCCAACACACACACACACACCACCCAACACACACACACACACCACCCAACACACACACACACCACCCAACACACACACACCACCCAACACACACACACCACCCAACACACACACACCACCCAACACACACACACACACCACCCAACACACACACACACACACCACCCAGCACACACACCACCCAACACACACACCACCCAAGACACACACCACCCAACACACACACCACACCACACACACCACCCAACACACATACTAACACACTGAACCACCATGCAACTCAGTACACACACAGTACACACACACAGTACACCCACACAGCACACACAGTGCACACACACATAGTACACACACACAGTACACACACAGCACACACAGTATACACAGACAGTACACACACACAGTACATACACAGTACACACACACAGTACACACACACAGTACACACACACAGTACACGCAGTACACACACACAGTACACGCAGTACACACACACAGTACACGCAGTACACACAGCACACACACACACAGTACACACAGTACACACACACAGTACACACACACAGTACATACACACAGTACACACACTACACAGTACACACACTACACAGTACACACACACAGTACACACAGTACACACACACAGTACATACACACAGTACACACACTACACAGTACACACACACAATACACACAGTACACACACACAGTACATACACACAGTACACACACTACACAGTACACACACTACACAGTACACACACAGTACACGCAGTACACACACACAGTACACGCAGTACACACAGTACACACACTACACCGTACACACACACAGTACACACACACAGTACACGCAGTACACACAGCACACACACACACAGTACACGCAGTACACACAGTACACACACACAGTACACACACACAGTACACACACTACACAGTACACACACTACACAGTACACACACACACAGTACACACACACAGTACACACACTACACAGTACACACACACAGTACACAAACTACACAGTACACACACTACACAGTACACACACTACACAGTACACACACTACACAGTACACACACACAGTACACACACTACACAGTACATACACACAGTACACACACTACACAGTACACACACTACACAGTACACACACACAGTACACACACTACACAGTACACACACTACACAGTACACACACTACACAGTACACACACTACACAGTACACACACACAGTACACACACTACACAGTACACACACTACACAGTACACACACTACACAGTACACACACTACACAGTACACACACTACACAGTACACACACTACACAGTACACACACTACACAGTACATACACACAGTACACACCCTACACAGTACACACACTACACAGTACACACACTACACAATACACACACTACACAGTACACACACACAGTACACACACTACACAGTACATACACACAGTACACACACTACACAGTACACACACTACACAGTACACACACTACACAGTACACACACACAGTACACACACTACACAGTACATACACACAGTACACACACTACACAGTACACACACTACACAGTACACACACTACACAGTACACACACTACACACACACAGTACACACACACAGTACACACACTACACAGTACACACACACAGTACACACAGTACACACACTACACAGTACACACACACAGTACACGCAGTACACACAGTACACACACTACACAGTACACACACACAGTACATACACACAGTACACACACACACAGTACACACACACAGTACATACACACAGTACATACACACAGTACACACACTACACAGTACACACACGCACTCTCACCTTCACGCTCGGCGTCTCCATGCCCGGCTGCGGCTGCTGTTGCTGCAGCATCAGCAGCCGCGTGTCGCTCTTCGCTGTTATGGGCGCTGCTCCTCCTCCTCCCCCACGCTGCACCATCGGGTCCGCCGCTCCTCGGGCAGCCGAGGAGGAGGAGAAGAGGGGCGGAGAGCGGGGAGCGTGCAGCCCCAACAGGGAGGGAGGACGACGTGAGATATTGAGTGACTCCGACGACAGCCTCTTCCTGCACCGTCTACGACAGCTGCTGCTGCTACTACAAAATAACCAAGACGACTCCACCTCCCTCCGCTTGCCTCGCAATGACCGCTGCGCTGTTTTACGACGTGTGCTTCGGACTGCACGGGGTGCTTCTGGTAGCGCAAATGTGGATGGAGCGTCTTCATCTGCGACGATTAACCCGGCCTCGTACGCCGCTGGCTACGAGCTCGGAGAGATGATGATGATGGGGCGTTTCTCATTCTCTCTCTCGGCGTTGTCTTTCTCTCTCTTCTCTTTCTCTCCTCTCGCGCACACAAAGGCGCGCGCGTGTTTGTGTGCGCGCGCGCGCGCGTGCGTCACACGTGCACGCGCTCGATGGAGGTGTCGCGATCAGCACTGGGAGAGGTAACGCGCGGAAGAACATCGGCGGGGGAGGGAGGGATTTAAAATTTTAAATCTGCTTCGCGAGAAGAGGTCGTTGTGATCATCGTCATCATGATGATCATTGTCGTTACAGAGTGTTTCTGTGCCCGTCACACTGATCGTGGCTAAACAAAGCCATACTCGTTTATGAAATATATATACGGTACGTATTTCAGACTGCACGTGGCTCTGGTGAACATCATAATCACCATCACCCACGGTGTGCCTTTCACATTGACCTTGAATGTCATCTTCATATTTTGTATTTAATCCCCATCGTGGCTATACATCATAATTATCACTATTCTGTCTTTGACATCAATTGTGGATAAATAATTATTCATCGCCATTCTGTCGCCTGATGAAGCTAGTGGTAATTACTGGCGAAACGTCGTACTCAGATTGTAAATGTCGTGGCTTGGCTCTCCAACACACCGGTGTGCTGTACTAGTGACGAATTGGCACGTTCTGTTTACGTGACAACCCTTACTAGTTGGCTGTGTCGGGTGGTGGCGGGTTTTAACGACACATTTATATATTTACGCGATCTCACCCAAAAAAAAACCCTTTATTAATGATATTGGTCGCGAAAGCCTGATACGTGTTAATGTGTCTCCTTCGTGGATGTGTTTGTCCACGTAAAACAGAGATGTCTTACACAACCCATCAACCGCACGTCCTCCTGGGAGACAATATTGTCAGCAGCATTGATTCAATACAAGCAAAACCCTGGACCGGTGTCATCACAGTGTCTCAATCGGCAGCAGAGTCAGGCTTTGCTGAATCAATGGTGAACTGCCACATGTTACTATTTCATTTATTCACCGGGTGAAGCCCACTGAGCTATGTGGGCATTTTTCAGAAGCGACCTGGCCACAAATCATAGCTCAACGAAGTGGCTTATCATGTGGAAATGTATAGCAGCCAAATACTCTAATCGCATGTTTCTAAATCTGCAGGGAAAACCCGGAGGACCTGGACAAAAATTTCCGCGACTACGGGGAGGACATGCAAACTCCAAATATAAAGGCGTCAGGGTTGGGATGGAACTCACGACCTCCTGCATACCAGGCGAGGGAGTCAACATCTCACAATTGCGGCGCCCATGTAACAGCCTTGGCAAGGGCCGTCTCTTTAAGGCGTGGGTCCCAGTTCGTTACATAACAGACGGGACAGACCCTAAAGCGTAAAAAACCCACAAGAAACAGTAAACACACCCATCAAATGATGATGTTCGTTTCGCCATCACCAGGAGCTGGAGAAGACACGGGTGGGTAGGGGTTCAGTCCGTGTGCCCCCTCCTGTACTCCGCAGCACAAAACATTATTGCTTCCCCCCCGCACCTCCGATTAGTACGATTGGCTACGTACGGTGCGAAAGAAGTCCAACATACGTACACGCAATACGCAGTAATTCCCGACACCGAGCGGGATCGTGCCCCCCACGTTCAATGTCCTGTTCAGGCTGGGGAAGAATGAAAGCGCTGGCTTGCATTGTCCGCCTCTGAGTGACGTTTAATCACCATCCCAATATGCAGAACGCAGAGGCACGGAGGAGTCGTTTGGAGGGCGCGAGCTTTAATTACGAAGTCGCAAATCACGGATTCTGTTCATTCCGCTTCGTGCGCGGGCGAGGAGGGGGGGGGATTAACTCTTACGCCCCTATTCCAAGCGCAACCATATATAGCACAGCTTTCATGGTTGGCTGTGTTGGGTAGAGGAGGGTACACGACACACATTTTACTTTATGCGATATCACCCAGAAATAAACTCCGAATCCAAAATATTAGCTTCACCACCACCACCGTTAATAAATGAAGGGCGCATCCCTGCAATTAGTTGTTCACGCCTCTGCTGGCTAAACAGCACCTCCGATTATCACGGCTGGCAACGTACTGTGTGAAAGAAGTTCAGCATGCACACAGGGCCATTTTGGAGGGTGTTTGGCTTACTTTACTCTGCAGCCTTCGAGTCATCTCTCTCGTCGAGACCACTGCGCCGGTTGCAAGTTAACATTGTTGTACTTCACCCAGTTTTCACTTGGTTTTTGAGCAAAAATTGACACGAAACAATATGCGTTGCAATACACTTGACAGACCTTTGGATGCATTCAGTAGATTTTAATTGTAACAAAGCTCCACTTTCACCCATCTCCTTTGCGTTGCGGGGGACAGAAGGGTTGTTATGTGTGTGGGGGTCACCGTATGAGCGACTCGCCACTGAGGAACTAACCATCGAACAAAGACGGCCACTGCATCGCGCGCTTTCAGATGCGCTTCTGTGGCCGTCTGGAACGCTCTTCCTTCCGATATTAGGCAGCAGCTGGAGTTGTGCACTTTAAACATAGGTTGAAAACTAATTTCTTTAGAACTGTATTTAGTTACTTTTCCTTCCCGCGCAACTCTGATTAGCACGTTTGGCTACGTACGGTGCGAAAGAAGTTCAACATACATACATCGTCGGAAACCTCCTCCCCCTGTCACCAGGACCCGGCTTCCCTGACACCGGCCCCGATGGCGAACGACGAGACTCAGAATGTATTGCCAGCTTGTGTCGTTGGAAGATTTCACATTGAATTCATTTTGAGAATACCGGCTCGCTTTATTGCAGTAATACGTGGCACCAGTCATTCAATATGATCTCCTTCAGTATTGACGGTGCTGTACAATGATTGTGAAAATAAAACATGGAATTTAAAAAAAAAGTGCTTGCTTCATCACCCGAAATCATTGCAGGTCCATAAGTCATTAGAATTTCTGACGCAACGTATTTTTACGTAGCAGTTTGCTTAACCACGCAAACAGTTGACAAGTTTCAACTTTACGAGTGTTTATTAGCCGAGTGTTAAAATTATTGTTGCTGGGTGGTCTGGTGGTTTGACACAAGAAAAATCAATAAATACTGGGCAATCACGGTGACGCGCCTCTGAACAATCATTTTGAATTGAGCCCCAGATTTCTTGTGACCTATTTATTTACGTCTGCGCTACCCGAAACGGTACCGCCGATAATTCAATCCCAGCTGATATATCAAAAGCAACATTTAAGGCGCCTTCACGCTCTGGTATACAACACTGTATTACGAAGAGAAAAAACACAGCCGATAACGTGGGAATGCAGCCCTATGATTGAACACCCATGCATGTTTATTGCTTTTCAATTTGAACGCGCCCCATTGTGCTCATCACAGAGCGACTACTTAACATATTTTACTCGCCAATGGGCCAAAGCGGAAATTGGTACCACCGCAATGTAGTAAAACATTACGACAGATTTATTTCCGTGGCAAAATACCAGGGATTTTATTTATGACCCCACTTATTTCACATGGTGACCACATAATTCAGTTATTGGCCGCATGAATAAATTGGAACCACGGAAGTTATGCCACATTGGGTGGTACCGACAAATAGGATATCTGCTCTGAGCTCATGGACTATATGTAACAGATGTCAATGAATAGCATGCAAGTAATGATGATGCACCAACGCACCATCGATTCTTAAGCTATGAAACTAATACTTTTATTTTACCAGCTATGTAGATATTTTTCAGAAGCGACCTGGCCACAAATAATAGCTCAACGAAGTGGCTTATCACGTTGAATTTTAAAACAGCCAAATACTCTAAACGCATGTTTCTAAATGTGGAGGGAAAAACCGGAGGACCCGGAAAAAATCCACACGGCCACGGGGAAATCATGCAAACTAAAAATATACAGGCGTCGGGGTCGGGATCGAACCCACAACCTCCTGCATATGCTTAAAGCAACTTAAACCTGCGGCTTCTTTGTTAATTCACTCTTGGATGAAGGCCTCCCCCACATCGTGTCAGTCACCATACTTCACCATAGCGCAGTGTGCTAACCACTGCCACCACCGCTGCACCCACACTTGATATGCACTGATTGAACTGCGGGAGTAATAATCAACGGCTTGTTGTTCGTACACGTGGTATTTAATTGGGTCGAGTAATACCTGCAGCCACGAGGGGTTCTCAGTTCACGATGACAGGAAGAGAAATTAAACCCCCGTATGTTGACAATTCATCATATTGTGTGGTGGGAGGGGGTCAGAGGGGGGATTACCTGCCAATATGGACAAAGATGACCTCTTTTTTTCACATCCCATACATTCATCTTTTTTTCAGATACACAAAGTGGCCTTGGTTTGGGGTTTTGATACCAAAGCGAAATTTGAAGAGGTCTTTACAATCAGATTGTGGCGAAAAATGTGGTGCAGAGGCATACGATGAGGTTCATCAAGGTCCCGAGAAGTCTACTTCTAGACATGATGGGGTCTAGAAGTCTTGACAATCGAGACAGCGAGAGGACAACATCAACATATGAAGGGTTCCTGAGAGGTCTTCATCAAGACTTGACGATAACGTCCACAAAGGACCTCATCAAGACGTGGTGCTGACTGCGTGTTGAGGTCTCCATCTAGGCGTGGCAATGAAGGTTTCTTCATCGGGACGTGGTGATGAAACCCAGAGGCCTTCACCAGGTCAAGGTTGGGTTCATCTTGTACTTGTTGTAGTCCGCCAGCAGAAAGAATGCCAGCACCGTCTCATGACCTGTCAATGCAAACCTTCCATTATGCAAATGCACCTGAATTGTTGAACATATGTTTTAGTGGAAAGGCCACAGTCACTAATATCTGGCAGAAAAGCTGTTTCGGGCACAAACATGAATCTTGCTTCAAATATATATATATATAAAAGCAGGAAATGCATCACACGACAAGACTTTACTACTAATGAATGCAGCTACTGTTACAATATGGATTTAAATAACATTTTCATAGAATTGTATCTCAAATTGTGTTTGACCAGGGCTCCATTTATTAAGGTTCCTCATTTAATTAATCCTCCCAGCAGTGGCCAGCTCATGTGCAGGGAGGCCTGAGTGAATGCACTTGGCAGCTCATGAACAATGAATGAAACAGTTCTGGGGAACGCGAGGGCTGTGATTGTCATGGTGGTGACGATGATAACGGACCAATGTGGTCAAGGCTCTGGTAACGATTACTGTAATGACTGTGGTGATACTGATGGCAGTGCTGAAAATTATGATGGTGAGATACCCATAGTTATGATTGTGGTGGTGGTGATGATGGTTATGATTATGGAAAATCATGGTGGTGATGATTACAACAATGACTACGGTGACATTCTTGATTATGATGGTAGTGGCAGTGGTTATAAATTGTAGCTGGTATTGATAATGATCATGGTGATGATGTTGACGGTGATCATAATGATAACGACAGTCACAATGATGACAATGATGATGGCGCCAACGCAATGCGAGCGATGATGATCTCAGCGGTGTTCCCTGTGGGTGTGCAGCCAGTGTATGTGTATGTATATCGAACTTTTTTATGAACGTACGTAGCCAATTGTACTAATCTGAGGTGCGGGGTAAGGATAACAAACTAAACACAAAAATCAGTTCTAAAGAAATGTTTTTTTATCTAGATGATTTAAAAGTGCATAGCTCCAGTGGCTTCCTTATATCAGAAGAGCGTTCCAGACGGCCGCAGAAGCGCATTTGAAAGCACGCGACGTGATAACCGTTTTTATCCGATGGCCAACCAAAAGCCGCTGCTGCTGCGAGGACCGTAGCGCGGGTGATGGTTTATGCTCCTTGACGAAATCAGCAAGGTATTGTGGTTCATTTGTGACACTTTGTGTGTGTAGTGAGTGCAAGCGGTGGGCATCGTACGGACGCCGGAGTCGTGCAGCGTCTGCTCATCGTGCAGCAGCAGATGCTCGTCGTCCTCCAGGCTCACCACCAGCTCATTCGTCTGCCACCACAGACGAGAGCAACGGCGACAGTGAGAGAAGTAAACGACAGGACGGGCAGCAGTCGCGAGCTCCGTTTGCTTTGTATGAATTGCAAGACCATGCAGCGGTTACGATCCGTGGTACGTATGGCTTGCGCAGCAAAGACTATGCGCCTTACCTTTGCGCCGTGTGCCTGATGAATAATCTTGAGAGTATCTGCCGATTTACAGTGAAAATTAAGGATTGTTTAAGTGACGCATGTTTTCACATCGAGAAAGTACATGTTAAAATTGTACGGATTATTTTGCGCGTGTCGCAGGAATAACACATTACCGTAAGTGTGTTTCTTAAATGGAGGAGGCAGCTGTGCTCTTGTCGGAATTTCTGCATCAGATCAATCAAAAATTCTGGTATAAGTGCATATAGAAGGAACCAACTGGCCTCAAAAGTCTTTACATGTCCAATGTTCCCTTGTATAGATGTAACGATTCACTCGCTGGGCCATTGGAGAGACTCGAGTAAAGGACGCGAAAACCACGGGGGCGGAGGACGAGCTCACCGCACCTCGCAGAAGCAAGCTCATGAAGTCCCGCACGCTCTGCGAGACGGCGACGTCGTGGAAGACGAGCTCGCGGAAGTTGCGGTGCTCGAAGGAGCGCACGAGGCGCACGCACAGCGTCACCGTCTCCAGCCCCGGACGCTCCGGGGCCCGACACGCAGCCTCACTCATACACGGAGCTTTAAACAAAGACACGGATCCCTCGTACAGCGTTAACAGACTGTTGGGGCAAGTGTTAGCGAGCACATATGAAGGTTGGCACAACACCACGCCCGGCCCGTATTTTGTCTCCAGAGTGGAGAATTTTACACATCGCACCCGGTACATATTTGAGGCTGATCCGACCTAGGGTAGGACCAGGACCGATTCAGATAATCGTTACTGGTGTTGGCCGTCACGGCGCGGAGAGTATAGCGGTGTAACATTTGATTGTGTTGCACTGCCCTCTGCTGCCCACAAGGTATATTAATTAACACAGTATATCTCGCAGCAGTATTTCGCAACTAATTCTTGTGTACCCCAAAACGGTCAGCCTTTTCGAGATCGCCAATCTTTTATATATTCTTATGCAAATTACATCACTGCACACTGCATGTACCTGAAGGTTGGCGAGCACAGACAGCTGTACCCATAGAATGTTCACGAGGACTGGCACCGAGGAACAGCTCTCAATCTTGTAGCTACACGAATATACGTTATATCTTGTCAGGCGTCCCATCACATAACTCTCGTGACACCACCGTTATTATTTTATCGCGGCAAGGCGATGCCTCGGTGATGTTTCTAAAGTGCCGTAATGATGTACTCTATCGTTACTCTAAAGTATGTTTTTTTTTTCCCCTCCAAGGCAAGTATCTTGTAGGATTCTTAAATGATAGCTGGTAAACCGGTAATCAATTCTGATGATTGGCACATGCTAAGGTACACAGGGCGCAGTGGTCTAAGTAACCGCGCGATAAATGTGTCCTCGTTTCTCAATTAAAAGTTAGAATTGCAACTTTGCAATGGAATAAAAGCCTGTACACTAACGCAGTGTTTCTTAGACTTATTTTGACCACAAAATTTCCGCGGACCACCCAGCCCCCCTGGTGACAAACCGCATTCCCTTCTCTTTCAATACCAGGAGTACACAATTATTCATATTACCGGAACATTGTTTTTAATGCAGCGATAAGGTTTTTTTGACGGGGGGGGCACTTAGATCATCGGCTTTCGGTAGTTCAATCAGTTTAGTTTGCCTCACTTAATTTATTAAACATAACAAAAATGTAAATACATTTCATGAAAAGGTATGAACATTGTTGTCATTTGCGGATCAACCTGCATTTGAATCAGAGCCCCGCGGACCACGTGGAGGGCCGTCACGGGTCACCTGGTGGGGTGGGACCCGCGCCTTGAGAACCACCGCATCAACGCCCCGAGTATCTCGGTGTATGCAGCACTGTACTGCAGCTACAAGTCCAGTACTTTGGTTGGCACATCGCTTTCATACCAAGTCACATCAATCGTCACGTGACGTTGCGTGACCGTCTCTTTTTGTCAACGAAGCAGTTTGAAACACAACCCTGGTAGTATTTAAATCTAGAATCAACCTTGGTACTATTTACAAAACAAAAACGGGTTGTAGGTTCGGTCAATAATTACTCAAATTAGAGCCCGATTACACTCATTACCTCGATTCTCGAATCACTACAATTGGGGATCTGTATAAACTGTGATATTCCAAAATTTAAATTATATTCTCTGTTCAGGTACCCATCTCCACTGGTGGTCCTGAGCCAGTGGCTGAAATTCCACATTCCTATGACGAGAACCGAGAGCCCTGACCTATTGTGATCTTAGTCTTTGACCAGGTTAACTAATGCGGAGATGTATGTGCTGCCCTAGCTATCATAGTCCTTGACCAGGTCAACAACGCAGAGGTGTAGGCGCTGTTGACATTCCCTGCACCGCTGCCGTAGCGCACGGACAGAGAGCCCCGTGGAGAACCTCTCCCGGCCTGAACCCAGCAGCGCGATGTTATAACGGCGTTAGGCCCGCACACGCGTGGTCATATCGCAACGATGTAACACAACAACAACAACATCCACCCGATCGAGCAGACGGCGGCTCCACTCACGGCGGGGACGTCGCAGGCGAGAGACACTCACGCCGACCTTTGACCCCGACCCAGCGTCTCCCACGTGCCGCCTGCGTCCCGGGACACGTGACTTCGGCTGCTCGTTTGGGCTGTGAGGGGGGGGGGGGTCGCAAAGAGCTTGGCGCTGATAGGTGGGTCGCATGTACCACGTGGTCTTGCAATCGGCGTCTTTAAGCCAATGGCGTGAAGGGGGCGCGGAGTGGGCGGGCTGGGAGAGGAGGTGGGGAGTGGGCGGGCTGGGACTGTGGGGCTGGGAGTGGGGAGTGGGGGGCTGGGAGTGGGGGGCTGGGAGAGGAGGTGGGGAGTGGGGGGCTGGGAGTGTGGGGCTGGGAGAGGAGGTGGGGAGTGGGGGGCTGGGAGTGTGGGGGGCTGGGAGTGGGGAGTGGGGGGCTGGGAGTGGGGGGCTGGGAGAGGAGGGCGGGGCGTGGGGGGCTGGGAGTGTGGGGGGCTGGGAGTGGGGAGTGGGGAGTGGGGGGCTGGGAGTGTGGGGCTGGGAGAGGAGGTGGGGAGTGGGGGGCTGGTAGAGGAGGTGGGGAGTAGGGGGCTGGGAGAGGAGGTGGGGAGTGGGGGGCTGGGAGTGGGGGGCTGGGAGTGGGGGGCAGGGCGTGGGGGGCTGGGAGTGGGGGGCTGGGAGTGGGGGGCAGGGCGTGGGGGGCTGGGAGTGGGGGGCTGGTAGAGGAGGTGGGGAGTGGGGGGCTGGGAGAGGAGGTGGGGAGTGGGGGGCTGGGAGTGGGGGGCTGGGAGTGGGGGGCAGGGCGTGGGGGGCTGGGAGTGGGGGGCTGGGAGTGGGGGGCTGGGAGTGGGGGGCAGGGCGTGGGGGGCTGGGAGTGGGGGGCTGGTAGAGGAGGTGGGGAGTGGGGGGCTGGGAGAGGAGGTGGGGAGTGGGGGGCTGGTAGAGGAGGTGGGGAGTGGGGGGCTGGGAGAGGAGGTGGGGAGTGGGAGGCTGGGAGTGGGGGGCTGGGAGTGGGGGGCTGGGAGTGGGGGACTGGGAGTGGGGGGCTGGGAGTGGGGGGCTGGGAGAGGAGGTGGGGAGTGGGGGGCTGGGAGTGGGGGGCTGGGAGAGGAGGTGGGGAGTGGGGGGCTGGGAGAGGTGGGGAGTGGGGGGCTGGGAGAGGGGGTGGGGAGTGGGGGGGGGGTGCTGAGAGTGGGGCGTGGGGGGCTGGTAGTGGGGGGCTGGGAGTGGGGGGCTAGGCGTGGGGGGCGGGGAGTGGGGGGGGGGCTGAGAGTGGGTCTCCAATCAGCTGTTGATTCTGGACGCCCGCGTTGCTCCACTCTGTCCGCACAGCAGCGGCCTTCTTCTGGATCTGGGTGGGCTTCCAGGAGAGTCACAGCGCAATCCCAGCAGGGCAATCGCGACTTTAAAACTGTCTTAACTATTTTACTTATTTTCTCAGGTAAGGCTCACTTGAGCAGTACGGCTCTTTCTTCAGAAGCGACCTGGCAATCGAAGTAGCTCATCACGTGGACATGCATTGCAGCCAAGTACTATAAACGCAGGTTTCTAATTGTGGAGGGGAAAACCAGGAGGACCCGGAGTGAGAGAGACAGCAGCAGGCGTCAGGGTCTGGATCGAACCCACGACCTCCTGTACACCAGGCGAGAGAGTTCAACATCTCGCCACCGCGACTTGAAATGCAAACCCCCTTAGGGGCCGTCCATAAATGACGTCACGCACCTAGTGGGGGGGGGCAGACATTTGTGACGATATGTGACGGGGGGGGGGGTAAAAAATGTGACGTCACATCAAAATGCGCAACTTTAAATAAATATAGATGACACGTTCTACTTACTTAAATATACTTTTTAATAAATGTTTTCTCCTACAACATCAGAGTGCAGCGCCACATTAAATACGCACTACAATGACAATAGTTTAAAGCGATTTGAAGCATGTTTTTTTTTGGGGGGGGGGGGGGCAGACCTTTGTGACGTCATATTTGAGGGGGGGGCTGACTTTTTGTGACGCCGTGGGACGAAAGGGGGGGGGGGGTCAAAAATCGTCCAAAATCGCGTGACGTCATTTATGGACGGCCTCAATGCTCAACTAGTTTTAATACATATTCCTGGTTTTTTCGGTAAAAGTCACGTAGAAGAGAAAATATAAAATAAAACAATAAAATCCTCACGACGTTTCGATTGCAGCAACAACAATATTAATCCCTGCAGTCACGAAAGCTTTAAAACGAAATGTAGTTTTCACACGCCTCGAAAAGCCTATTCTTATGCGTACTACGGAATCTATAGCGCTGCCTATCAGTGTTATAAAATCCAAATCAAGATATGTTAGTCACGTGGTGGAGGAGGAGGGGGACCACGGCGGCGGCGAGGCGAAGCGCGCGATTTCTCCAGCTGCCTCCAGGTATCTCGCCCCGTCGTTCTCGATCACACCACGGCAGAGGTCGGGGTCCCCTCGGGGTCCCCTCGGGGTCTCCGATGGGATCTCCATTGGGGTCCCCTTGAAGTCCCCGAGGCCGGGAACGGACGCGGGGCACAAAGGTTCCCTCTCGGGCCGAGGCTCCGTACCGCGACCCCCCCACTCCCGAGGACGTCGCTTCGTGTCGACAATAATTAATCGGGTCATTAATTAACCTGACGCCGTTTTAAACGACGCGCCGCCTCCCCAGTGATTGTTTTGTACGCGTCCAGCCATTTCTCGGCGATCCACTGCTGGATGAGTGCCCGCCCCCCCCCCTCCACCACCACTCCGTGCAAGTGGTGGAAGGGAGGGCTTATTTTATCATATTGTTCAGAGATTTGGCGAAGACGGGGAGCATCGGCCGTTTTCTAAAACAATATATAGTTGGTTCATAATCGTTCTTTGCGTCATTGTTGGTGGATAATCTGAGCTGAGACGCGGGAAGTTGGTGGTTGAGGAAGAGGCCTGGTCGGTTCCCGGGCGCCCTGTTGTTGCCTGGTCGCTTCTACCGGGGAAGGCGCGTGAAACCCGGTAGGGAGCATAGGGACGAGTGGGGGGTCGGGCCACGTTACGAGCGGAGAGTGTTGAGACTCAAGTCTATAAAGCCAAAACATATTTGTTTTTGCTGCGGGTTTTAAGTAAAGTTACTTGTCGAAATGTTATATGACCAGGAATGTTTGTTGTATTTCGCAAATCGGGCTCGGCGGATAGAGCGATAAGGTTGCGAGCTAAAATATTGGTAGGGGGTTGACTTTGCCCATCATCCCTTCCCCGGGGTCGATAAAAAAGGTACCACTTAGTGGGGAAGTCGACAGTGGGGGTTGTCCTTGAAGACTCGCCCTGCGATAGGAGTGGATTTATGCACCTCTTACTTTGTGAGGTGAGTATCGCGTCAATGGTCTTGATCACGACACCATTTCGACTTCACATCGCAGGATGGGTAGAGCTATCGGTCGTGGTTTTACCAACTTACGAGAGTTGGTGGATCAAGCATACACATCACCGTAGAATGCTAGACTCCCAAGGTAGCCAGGACGATACTGTACAAAAATTGTGTTTGTGAGTGAACCCGTCATTCCCTCATGCATGGTGGGGGTGTCCCGTTTTATTTCCCTTGTACAACGCTTATTGATAATAAATTGGTCAAACGTCCTAGGACCTACCCTAACAAACTCTGGAGGACTTCCATGAGGCTGTGTAGGATAAATATATGACATTACAGTATTACTAAGTACAACAATTAGGATTTGTAAAGTAACTAGCAAAGAAAGTATATTATCAGAAACGAGTGTTGGGTTGAATTCTATAGGACATGGAAGGGAAGGACGCATTGGTATCAAACGTGAGAATGTAATATTTGTCGATTTGAGGTTTCCCTTGTCAATAATGCAGATATCAGACAAAGGAAAATTATTTATATAAGTAATCAGCAGTAATTATCCACGTTTTTATTTGTAAGAAATTGACCATGATGTGATGGTGCCAGTCTGCAGAAAGTGACAATTTTTTTAAGACTGTGGACGAAGATTTTTTACTTGAAATTAAAAGTTGTAAAAGTGTATTTTGCCTGAAATAGTGATGATTTCATTGACTTCAACATGAGACTGGATATGAAGCTTCTTTGAATTTAACTTTAGGTTTGAGGTGAATCTTGGGCTTGAATACCAAAAGCTGCCAAACAGTTTATTATAGGGTGAAGGAGACAATGCTTTTGCACTGTTCTGCAAGTTGGTGAATGCTCACATTTGTGCCATTGTGCCGTGTGGTTGCTTTGTGCGCGACAGAGGCGGACGGAAGGGAGAGTTCCTGTTGTGTGATGAGCGCTGTAAAGCGTTGGCGCTGACAAAACGCGCTTACCCTGCGCATTGCCCGCGCTTGCGACTCACAGCTGCGCATCCACCTCCCTCCTCCACCATCACATATCTCCACCACCCTCCACCACCACCTCCTCCATCTCCCTCCACTACCATCTCCCTTTATCACAACTTCCCTCCACCACCACCACCTACAACCACCACCCTCCACAACCACCTCCCATCATCACCAACTCGATCATCGCCAACACCACAATCGCCACAAACACCATCGCCACATCACAATCACCACCAATGTTTAGATTACCATCACCATAAACACCCATCAGCAACACAATCTCAACCACCACCACGATCACCACCACATCCCCGAGCTCCGCGCGCCCCTCCCAGCAGCAGCGCGGCGCGGTAAAGCGCGGCGGCGCAGCGAGGCGAGCGCTCTCCCGCTAACATGTCCGAAAATGACAGCAATCTGAACGGCGTGGCCGATGGCACGGGCGAGTGCACCGAGGGGGGCATGTGCCGGGACTTCCTGCGCAACGTGTGCAAGCGGGGCAAGCACTGCCGCTACCACCACCCTGAGTTCAGCGAGGTCATCAACATGGGCGTGCGCCGCAACGAGCTGAGCTTCTGCCACGACTTCCAGAACGGCAGCTGCACACGGCCCAACTGCAAGTTCGTGCACTCGCCCAAGCAGGACGAGGAGTTCTACCGGCAGCACGGGGAGCTGCCGGCGCACCTCAAGCAGACGGTGGCCGCCGGCCTTGGCCTCTCGCTGCGGGACCTGCAACTGCGGCAGGGCGAGGTGCCCGTGTGCCACGACAACCTCAACAGCGGCTGCCTCAGAGGCAAGCGCTGCAAGTTCCGGCACGTGACGCGCGAGGAGTTCACGCTGGAAATGGGGTTGTGTGGCCGCGCCGGCGCACCGGACGCCACCGCTGTGACCATCCTGCCGCCCCCCCCAGCGATGCCCGCCACCATGATGCCACGCTACCGCTTCGATGGGTTCGGCGAGGCCTTCGAGGAGGAGCGCTTTGTTGAGTTTGAGCTGGCACGCGCCAAGCGGCGCCGCCTGGAGGAGCCGTGGGCCGAGCGCTTCGAGCACCCGCTGCCCACGCTGCGCCTCGCCGACACGCAGCTGCTGCTGCTGCAGGAGGAGAATCTAATGCTGCGGCGGCGCATGGAGGAGCTGCGCAAGCAGGCGGTCGACCTGACGGCCGTCAACGAGGCGCTGCTGGAGCAAAACGCGCGGCTGCGCGTGCAGGCTGGCAAGGTAGTGACGCTCACCTCGGCCGAACAGACGCTGGTGCCGCGCGCCCCCACCGTCGTGGTGGCCGCCGCTGCCATGCCCAGCTACAGCCATGCGCTGGGCCAGCCGCTCACCACGCTGAGTGGGCAGACGCTGCAGGGCCGGCCCGTGTCGCAGCAGGAGCTGGTAGCGCCGAGCGGGGCGCCCACTGCGCAGGCCTCTAACCCGGGGGCGCCACCACCCCAGCCCGTGGCACCGCCACATCTGAACCCTGAGGCATTGGCGCCCCTACCAGCCACTCTGGGGTTGGCACCCGCCGTGTCACTCGCCACGGTGGCCGTGTCGGTGGCGCCGGTTGTGTCCATGGCGCAGTCGCTGTCGGGGATCACCATGAGCCACGCCACCACGCCCATCATGACGTTCCCCATCGCAACTCAGAGCATACATATGACGTCCCTGCCACACTAGCCACCACCACGATGCTGGCAGCGAATCTCTGATGCTTGCAGAACTCAACCTTTGAATGCCGGATCCTCTTTGTTTTTTTAAGGAGAAATGTGTCTGAAAGTGAAAAATCTCTCCAACTCAAACTGGTATTGGGCAGTGCTCACCTCAGTTGGCTGTGAAGTGTGGATATTCCACATTCTTTAGGGCTAAACCAACTGGTCCCAACATCTTGCAACATTGTTTTTTTTATGTAACCTTTGAGGGGATGACGGGCTGAATCAATTTCCGATCAGGATTACAATTTTCCACTTGGCAGTTATGAGTTGATTTTTACACCCGGCCAATTGAGTTTCGGTAATATCGAGTAAAAAACTAAAATCACGATTGGAGTTTTGAAGATGGCAAGGACACACGGTGGCCTGCTGAAGTCACATGATCATTTAATTGATGGTTTTCATAGTGGATATCATTCTTGGAATTGAAGCGGCACTCCTAAGTAATGTGACATGGCGGTGTGTACACTACCGGACTGCCTCGCCCTGTGAGCAGGGGAAATAATGTCGCGAGGGCGCACTTGATAATGTGTCTCTGCTTTAGGTCTGTTCCAAAGAGATGGTTCCACACTTGCTTTATTACGAGTTGTAGTTTTCATAAATATTGCATGAAGAGATCAATTGATCAGGCTTTTGTGTAATACAAGCATGTAAATCGCTATTCATAATAAAGGTTTTTGGGTTAGGTCGCCTAAGTATAAATGTGTCGAAACCCTCCACCACCCGACACAGCCAATTAGTAAAGGAATTGTCACGTAAACAACATGCCAAATAGTTACTATCTTAATTTTGGAGCTTTCGTGACTGCAGGAATTATTCTTTGTTTCTTTCGGTTAAGTCACGTCTAAAGATAAAATAATAAATTAAAATAATAGCATATTATGCAATCGAAACGTCGTAATGTGCTATTATTATAATTTATTATTTTATCTTTAGACGTGACTTAACAGAAAGAAACAAAGAAAAATAGTTACTACTTCAGCCCACGGGTGTATTGGAGAGTAAACCCACAACCTTTACAATTTTAGTACGACGTTTCGCTGGTATTTACAACCAGCATCATCGGGCGATTTGCCAGAATAGTGACGCAATCCACCTGCTCATTCATAACAAATTCAGAGCATCTTGTGAATGTGATTAAAGATATTAAACTTGACCCAAATGATATTCTACTGAGTTTTGATGTAATTTCTCTATTCACTAAGGTTCCAGTTAACATGTCCCTTAAATTACTTGTGGCAGATACTATATTGGACAGACGGGACGTAACATTAGCGTAAGATTAATAGAACACCAAAAAAATTATTTAATACTCTCAAACACAACTGTCGGCAGTTGCACAATATGCTTGCCAACAATTGATTTTGATAACGTTGAAGTGTTGTGTAAAACTAATTGACCAAGACTAATTTGAGAATCCATTGAAACTGACAGAAATTCAAATAATTTTAACCGCTCTGACAGCTACAAGCTTAGTGCGGCCTGGAAGCGTATTAAGTAATACATATTATAATTCCTTATAGAGGAAACATACTAATTAACTAATTACCAATCTATAATAATACAATAGCCCCTCCGCCTCTGATCTCTGCACCTGATTGGGTGCGGTGATGACGTCGTCCTGCTACTCTAAGACCGGAATCAGGTGGATTGCTTCACTATTCTGGCAAATCGCCTGATGATGCTGGATGTAATTACCAGCGAAACGTCGTACTCCAATTGTAAATGTTGTGGATTTAATCTCCAACACACCGGTGGGCTGAAGTAGTAACTAATTGGCGTTTTGATTGTGACAAATCCCTAACTAATCTTTATGAATATTGATAGCGAAAGCCTACGTGTAAAAATGTCAGTCCCTAAATATTTTTTTGTTACATGGCATTTTTCTCCATGCATAATTTTTCATTCCAATGAAACTGCACATTTTTTTATTGTGTTCTTTAGGAAATCTCAGTTTGTATACAAATATTGGCAGACTTATTTGTGGTGATCTCAATTCCTCACACCTTTGTGGTATGAACAGTGTTTTCATTTGCATCTGTAATGGTAAATTAATATGGCCCTGACATATATCCTAATGTTAATGATTGAACATTGTACTGTTTTTTTAACTGTTTTAAGTTAATGTGGACAGTGGCAATTTGGTAAATTGAATAAAATTGGAGCTTAAATCCTGATGTGTATTTTTGAATGTTTGTTGCGTGTTCTGTTTGTTGTCCTTCCCCTGCATCTCCGATTAGCACGTTTGGCTACGTGTGAAAGCTCTAGAAACATACATTACACATCAGCTTACATCACATGGGGCAACATTTGTATCTGGGGTTTTCACTTCGCATACCTCCAATGGGTCTTCACAGGGAGGTTACCTCTTTTGCTTTACTGCAGTCTGGTACAACCTCCCCAAACACTCCACTAATATCTCACGAGTCATTGATAAAATAGATTCTTACCGCTCAAGATAATATGCATCAATTTGCATTAAAGAATCAACATGACATTGGGATCAAGACCTCATAGTGCCATAATCCCTTAACTCGCGACTTCGAATTGCGAGCGTTGGAATCTTATTTTAATCTTTGAACCAGTAAATGCCTTAACCCTCGACATTTAATGACATGGGCCAAATATGGCAATTTTGGCATGAACATTAGTTGACTTCTACAAGAACGGGATTGTTAACATTGCCCACATTCCAATTAGTATGAGTCTTAAGATTAAGCTGTAGTCAAGGGAATACATAGAATCGAGAAATTATAATTGCTGAGAAAACTACATCATTCGCCTTCAAATAATGTAGCACAAACAGCAGAGAAGGGGTAGCGGGGGAGCTGGGGTTTGAAGAGAATCGGGAGCAGCACAATGAGACCAAACAAAGGCAGAAGACAAGGCACCACGCGACATCTCATTGGGAGGTTTATTTCATGGAAGACGTCAAAAATCTGCGAAGCTACTGCTTCCGGCAGCCTCTACGGCGAGACAACTGTGGCTCCTACACGGGCTGGGAAGACGTGTCTACTTCTAATCTAGAGACACAGCGCTGGGTGCGTCATGGCCAGACGGCGGCGGCGGCGAGAGCGGTGGACGAGTTTGCTCTCGAATCTAAACACAAGAGGACGCGGCGAACGGACGGGCCTCGACTTATCGTCGGTCCGCGCCGCTGCTGGCGTACACAGCCAGGTCGCTGGGAAGGCAATGGAATCGCGTGAGCTGGACAACGGCTTACGACAACGCGAACAACACCCACGAATAAAACGGCCCCCACGGACTTGGGAAGTGTTCAAGTAACAATTTTGTTGGAAACTGGACGGCTCGACCGAGTGCAGCAACACGGACGGACACGCGCTTGCTGCAGGCTACCGATTTGAAAATCATTGTTACGATGCTATTGCGTTTGAAACCGTTCAGCGGGTACACGTAAAAGCTTCCATATTCACGCAATATGCAGTTGAAGGATTAAAAAAAGATCAGCTGCCAGAAGAGTAGAAAGTCCTCGGACACAGCTGCATATGTAAGCAAATGGTGACGATTTCTGAGGACGAGAAATTTAAAATGTGCGCTTAAAATGTATTTTTACTTTCTCTAGTCACCGTTGTTATTACTGAGTGACGGCATCGTGCGGTTCGCACAGTGTATAGCAGCGGGGCTTCAAAACAAGCCTCACGTTCAATCCGTGTGACTTGGAATCGAACTCTTGAAACGATCAAGAAAAGCTGCCTCTAATGTGCGTCTTAAAATCTCAACTTTTTTGCTGGTGGGAAAAAATGTAACGTCACCCACGGGACGAAAGTGAAGAGTGACGTTCAGAAAGCTTCCCGAATTTCGCAAGGGAGCGCAAGCCACACACAATTATCCGTAATTATTGCTTATTGGATGTTTGTCCATTTGCACGTGGATGACCTATAAAACAGCAAACACAGCGATAACACTGACAGCAGCCACAGGTGTGTGACACGCTGGGGAAACGGCAGACACCGGGTGCGTAAACAACGATCCGTACGAAGCGTTTGAGCCACCTTGCTCTGGGACTTGAATTAACTACTACTACTACCACTATTTTTATTTCACCAGGCAAAGCCCACCAAGCAATATAGCTCTTTCTCAGAAGCGACCTGGCCACAAATGATAGCTCAACATAGTGGCTTGTCACAATGCTGATGACCGTTGCTCACCCAGGAAAGCTTGAGTCTCAAGACTCGATTTCACGAGGGTCCTGCTTCCATTGGGATGTTTTGTCAATAAAACCCGTGGTTGGCATGTCGGAAGGAGGAATCTCACACATGAGGGGGGGAGGGGGATAACACTCAAACGAGCTCTGCATATACAGATTCAAGAATACACTGTTGTAATACTTTCTCCTGGACACTTCACAGCCCAAGCCGACAACAGCTGGTATTCCCAGTCTCCCATCCACGTAGTAATCAAGCTCAACCCTGCTTATCTTCGGAGAGTTGACAAGGGCAGGCACAACCCATAACTCCTCACCCAACTGGGTTTACACAGAGCAATCATGGCCACCTACTAGTAGAACGAACGCCTTTATTGCAGGTTAAGCTATGAAATCACCTCGTGTCCACAAGGACAGCTGCCACTCGGGGTGCCCCTTCAAATGTTCAACATGAGATGGGGTTGCAAAGCGCTTATCGTATGTTCAGCGCTCTGATATGCCCTGGTGTATAGGAGGGCGCTATATCAAAAACACATCGTTTTCATTGCCCAGTTTTAGCGGATGTGCTCTTCTTGGAGGTTACATTCCATCACGAGTGGCGAGCTGTACCACCATTGGACAGACGGTGGGCTTGTGCCGGTACATTGAGAAGTCTCGTTAACGATCACTCGCAGACTGGACGAATCCTCGATGGTACTCGTTTCAGCAGGGTTTGTGTTTTAGAGAAACTTGATTGGGCAAGAGTTTGTGTGTTTTTTCTGCGAGGCGATGCCAAGTGTGCTCTCGGTGCGATGAGCAAATGATCAAATGTCTCTTCGCGGGAAGGACGAGACGTGTTCGTGAGATCGTGACATCATTGGCAACAAATGAAAACTGCGGGAGTTGGCTAAACGTCGGTGGAATGGATCAAACCGCCTGCACTTCAAAGTCCCTCCGGAGGATGGCGCTCTTAAGGTGGCGATGACACGTGTGGTAATTTGTAGAATTCGTTGCTGGCAACGGTGGCCGCACCATTTTGTATCGTCGCCTCAATTGGCGGACAACCGGGATGATGACACAATCAAATCAAACACAGCGGTCAGATGACAACCTCGAGGTCACGTGATCACTCATTGTTCGTCGAAGAAACTTAAAAAAAAAATGTCCTTCGGAAGGCAGAACTCCATCACCCCATGCCATTGCCGTAGCGAGTTGCTAAAACCGCTCAGTGCAAATCCTTTGCCGGTGGCAATTGACAGCAACAATTTACCCTAATATTGCCTGAGCACATCATGAACATTTGGCAATACTTCTTTACAGCGTGTCACACGTTTAAAAAACACGCAGCAGGTGTATCCTCCCCTTTGGTGCAATGACACGCAATTACACAATCAATACATTATTGCAGCGAAGTGATTTTGATAAAAAAAAAGATTTATAATTTAATAAAAAATACATTTGAAAGCAAAAAAAAAGTGGCGGCTTCTTTTGCCACTGAAAAATACCTCCATATCTCTTTTTTTTATTTGCACCCGATGTGAAAAGCTTAATGCTGACCTTCACGCGGCAAGATGCTGTCAAGCATCACGAGATCCATGACCTCACCTAAGGGTGACCTCCCCATGAGTTTGGGGAGAGACCTTCGCTGTCGATGAGGAGAGGAAAAAGCCTTGGCCACAGTCTCACGCCTCTCTAACCCTTACCTTGCAGACTGAACGTCTGACTGTAATCCCACATTGTAAGCCCTAATGTTAAACATTCTACCTAGTTGGATACCAAGTCATTATCCTCTCACCTTAACCTGTGACCTGTAACCCTCCATCTTTACACTAACCCCGAACCCAAAATCCAACCCTATTCAACAGCTAATCTTATCGGTTCGTCCAATCCAACTACGAGTCCTTAAACCCAAAATCTGCCCACTACCCCTTAACACGAAGCTGACTTGTAGTTGTCTGAAACCTACTCATGCCCCTAATCCTATCCTTAATCATTGCCCTACCAGTACCCCCACCTCTTTTGCTATCCCCACCATTAACCTTAATCATACCTCTGACATATATGACCCTTCAACCCACAGCCTAAACCTGCCGCTATCTCTAGCCTTACCCCTATCTTCCAACTGGAATGTAACCCCTAACTGTACCCATATTCATTTTTACAAGCCCTAACCCTGTCCCCAAATCCAGACGTTTTCCAAACTCCAGTCTTCACAACTCACCAAGGTGCACAGGTGCACACTGACATCTCCATTCAAATGTAAATTGTCATTGCACACTACACACCCCTGATGAATGATAAACGCCTCCAACGTGATGTAGAAAGCAACAAATCAAATTATGTCTCCAAGGCAAATATTTCCCCCATGTAGCCTTAAGAGACTGTTGGGGCAAGTGCTGTTAGTGAGCACCTGTGAAGGCCAGAATGGCACATGAGGGGGTGAGTGGCCAGCACCACGCTGCCTTTGTCTCCCTCGTGGCAATGTTTTTACACATTGCACTAGGTTCTCAATTGAGGCTGAGTAAACCTAGGGGAGGAGGCCCAGGACCGGTTCAGATAATCATCACTGGTGTTGGCCGTGAGTGATTCAGTGCCCTCTAAGTCACATATTTAGCAATAATCAGGCATGTACAGCGTGCCACAACTGAATTGCCATTTGAATGGAGGGAGGTTTGGCAAGTAAGAAAAATTACTGCGGTGGCTCTGAAGAGTGGATTGTGGGAAACTCTTCGTGAACCCCTCCACCCCTCCCTACCTTGCCCCCACCCTATCCCCGCGGGTCTCCCTTCGTACCTTACCCCAATCGGTGGTGGATGCTGCCTGTGGTACCGCTGTAGTTCTTAAGTCGCTACGCAAATATGCGTGCGTGTGCGCGCACACACTCGCGCGTGCGTGCGGGTCACACGATGCTGGTGATGTCGCCGATGGGCCTGCGTGCCGCCGCTCCGCACGCGCCACGGAAGGGGCTGCCCTCGTGGCCGCGGCGCACGCGCTCCAGCGGGCGCGAGCAGCAGGGCAGCGCCAGCAGCAGGCGGGCGAGCAGCGTGGCGCAGGGCAGGGGCAGCGCCAGCACGAACACGGGCGGCAGGTGGAAGTGGTAGTGCTCGGCTTCGAAGGCGCGGCGCCAGCCGAACGTGAGTGCGTGCAGCGTGCTCACCGCCAGCGCCACCACGCCCAGCTTGGACTGGTGGAGGGAGGGGGCGGGGAGGGCCAGCGGAGCGCGCGGCGTCGAGTGCCGTTAATGATGATTACCGTGCGAGCGCGTGGAACCGCGGCGCCACGCCCACACTCACGCTGCTCGGTTGAGTTGGCTCGTCGGCGAAAATATGGTAATTGTGATTCGATTACTTGGGTCCCTTCTAAAAGCAGTGGCCAGCTTGATATCCTGCCTCCTGCAGGCAGGAAAACACAGAAGAAGCCATGCAGAGTGTGGCATGGTTGGTGATGTGGCTTATGACGTCATGAAGCCCCGCTCTTCACCAGCAGCACGTGAGACTTTCCCCCCAGCTACTTCTGTGATATCCGATTAATCGCGTAACAGAAACGATAATTGGCAGAGCAAATTATTACGTAAATAATCGGTTACACCCGACTGTCGTGCGCGCACGCACACACACACTCCACCTGCACGTGTAATAAGACGCATTCCGCCCATACGTGTTTGTACACACGCACGCACGCACACATGCACGCACGCCGTACCTGTATGAAGCTGAACTCGCGCCAGTTGAGCGCGTCGCTGACGGACGGCAGGGAGGTGATGGCGAGCAGCACCATGAGGCCGAGCGCCATGATGCCGAGCGAGATGTACGTCTCCATGCGCCACACTTGCTCTTCATCCCACGACGACGTCAAGCCGCTCTGCACCTGAAAACGCCGGGCGACGAGAATGAGAGGCACGTGTGCTTTCCTGAGGGTTGCGTCGTCTCCGTCAAGGTGGCGCTGTCACGCAATGACATCGGACACCCGACGAAAGCGCCGAGATCAGCGATCAAACCATAATTTGTAAGAAAGTAGGCGTGGAGTTGTCCGTAGAGTCGTGTCTTTGCCCATATATGGTCTTGCGAATTGAGGCGCCTGTGGTATTGATTCCACTTCATAGTTGATTCGACTGCCACATTACAGTATCGGTTCATCGAGGGTTAATCCCTGCGTCGATTCATTGGCAAGCGACCCACGGATTGACTAATCCCATGGGCTAGTATGGCGTCGCGTGAAACGCTTCCCCCCCCTTTTTCTGATTGGCTAATATCTGAACGATCAGCGATTCGCTCCCAGTCCATTGTCATTGCCCTGCGGCGTTGCGTGGCACCGCGTGAACTCACCTGCCGGTAGGCGTCGTCGAGCAGGCGGTAGCGGTACGAGCGGCGCAGGGGCAGGGCGAGGCTGTAGATGGCGTGCAGGCCAGCGTAGAAGAACGCCAGCAGGCCCAGCTGCTTGCGGCATCGCAGCCAGCGGTCGAGCCACGGCGGGAAATGCCGCCACTTGGTGGCGTGCCACAGCTGCAGCGCCGCTGCCAGCGCGCCCGGCACGTACACGAGAGCAAGCAGCGACAGCGCCACCACGGGCAGCGTGGCATTCACCACCTCCACGGGGATCCTGCGAGGACACGAGGAGACATCAAAGGGGGACGCGGGTACGTGGGGAATCGGGGACAGAAAGATGCGGATATAGGAACGTGGGGACATGGGGACACGCGCTTACTTGTAGAACTCGCTGCGGCCGTGCACCGCGAAGGGGTGGACGACCTCGTGCACGAACGCGTAGAGGAAGAAGAAGAGGGAGAGCGCGAGGCAGAGCAGCACGGGGAAGCGCCACAGCGGGAAGAGGCGCAGGGGCAGTTCCTCGACGCTGGCGGCGGAGGAGAGGGCGCCCATGTCGAGCGGCGCGAAGCCGAGGTCGCGCGCCAGCTGCATGACGGCGGCGCGCGCCTCCACGCTGTCCCCGCACACGGGCACCTGCAGGCGCGCGGCAGGATGCACGATACGAAGTGAAGCACACGACACACAACATAAACACACGACACGGAATGCGGTAGCACGAGGGACGAAGCAACGATATGCACGACGTCGCACGAAACGCACGACGCGAAACATGAAACAAGAGAATCGCACGATTCTTTCTTCCCCTGCTCAGTGGCAGTGTGTGCGGCTCATTTCCCTCCTGATCTTGATCTTTCTTCTTCACATCACCGTACGGCCTCCCTCTTGCTTGCTTCAAGTCGTCAAGCAGCGTCCTTCTCTTTATGAATCTTGGCCTCTTTCCCAGCATCCCTAACACCTACAGAACTTCCTTAATCGAGCTCTCACCTTTGAGATTGTGCCCAATATACATCCCTTGCCTGGTCTGCATTGTTCTAAAGATACTTCTCTCCTCCCGAAACCTGCTCCAGAACTTCCACATTTCTCTTTCACTCCACCCATACTCACATCTCAAGACTTATCCAGTCGCCTTACATCTCCCTTCCAGGTTTCAGCTGCGTACAAACACGACCCCTCTAGACTCGGCTCTTCAAAAGTCACTTTTTCAACTCTGCTCACTCGTCTCGTCAGGAGCAAATGTTCTCCTCCTGCTCGAAGATGCCTTGCCCACACGGCGATCCCCGCTCGGATGAGTGCACGATTCAAAGCACAACGCGAAACGACGATGACGCTGCGACGCGCACACACGCGCACGCACGCACCGGACGTGACACTCACGCGCTTGCTGGAGTCCCTGGGCCCGCCCTGCAGCGCCCAGGCCGACACCACGTTGAAGGCCTTCACCACGTGCGAGTGGGGAAACATCTCCGCCAGGAATTCCGCATTGCTCCTCTGCGTCCTCCCGTCGCCGCCGCCTCCTCCGCGCTTCCGCCGCCGCTGCTCCCTCCTCTGCGCCGGGCTCCGGTTGCTGACGTCGACGAGGACCCTGCCGGCGAGCGCGCCGCCCAGCTCGGCGAGCGTCGCGTAGTGCTCGTGGTGCAGCGCCACGACCACGAGCGCAGCGCTCGCCGCCGCCTCGGCGCGGCCCAGCAGCTCGGCCTGCGGCGGCATGCGCTCGGCGGCCGCCTTGGGGTCGCGGCTGCCCACGGCGACGGCGTAGCCGGCCGAGAGGAGGCGGGCCGCGAGGGCCCGTGCGAAGTCGCCGCTGCCCAGGATGGCCACGCTGCGGCGGTTCCCGTTCGGCCGGAAAGCGCCGCCGGTGCCGCCGCCGCCGCCAGGCACGGGGCCGCCGTTGCGCAGGGAGATGAGCGGAGAGTTGGAGACGCTCAGAGTGCCCTCCACGGCCATGGTGGACGCGAGGATGGGGGGGAGGGGAAAGGGGGGTGTGGGGGCAGACCCTCGGCTGGGCCCGAGCGAGCGGGCGAGTGGGGAGAGCCTCTGCGAGTAAAGAGGGTGCCACGGTGGCGAAATGTTAACTATCTCGCCTGGTATACAGCAGGTCGTGGGTTCCATGTATATGTGGAGTGTATATGTTTTCCCCGTGTTCGCGCGGATTTTTCCCTCCACATTTAGAAACGTGAGTTGAGACTATTTGACTGCGATACATTTCCATGTGATAAGCTATCATTTGTGACCAGGTCGTTTCTGAAAAAGAGCTACAGTATACAGCTCAGTGGGCCTCACATGGTAAGATAAAAAGTCTCCGGGTTGCACAAGACCCGACCTACAGAAATCCGACTTTACGGAAATGCTCCCATGAATCGTGTAAAAAAATAATAATTTGCGGACAGTTTTGCTTTAGTTACGTAAACGCAAATAGTGCAGTGCGGTGAGGTTGTGGATGAATACCGAGGAGCGAGCCGTAAAGCGGTGAGATGTAAGACGGGCAGCCGCTAGTTTACTCGGTTAAACTAAAAGTGTATAATTGACAGACACACGCGCGCGCTGACACGTACAAAGATCCCCCTGAACAGACTTGGGGGCAAGTGCCGTTAGCGAGCTCCTATTAAGGCTGGGACGGCACACGAGGGGGTGGGTGGCCAGGAACACGCCCGACCGCCTTTGTCTCCCCAAAGGCGATTATTTTTAAACACCGCACCAGGTATTCATTTTAGGCCCAGGACCGGTTCAGATAATCGTCACCGGTGTTGTTGGCCGCGAGCCGGGAATCGAACTCGGGTCACCGGGTTCGTAGCGCAGGGCGCTAACCGCTCCCAGGACACACACAAAGACAAGCCACACACACGCGCTCCCAGGACACATACAAAGACAATCCACACACACGTGCTCCCAGGACACACACAAAGACAAGCCACACACACACGCGCTGAGCTGGCGTTGCCTCTTGAATCCACAAAGATTTTGCAATTTTTATGGAATTTCCCAAAGACGTCACTAATCAGTTGCGACTCACAGCACATGACTTGCCAAAGCCAAAGGTCACCCGCACGGACCCGACTGAACTCCTGGGGCAAGTGCTGTGTGCGAGCACCAATGACATTGGCAAGGCATACACCAAGGGATGAGTGGTCAGCAACCACGCCCGGCCGCCTTTGTCTCCCCAAGTGGTGATGTTTTTACACATCGCACCAGGAACTCATTTGAGGCTGAGTCGACCTAGGGGAGGCCCAGCGACCGGTTCAGATATTCGTCAATGTTTGTTGGCCATGAGCGGGAATCGAACTCGGGTCTCTGCAGCGTAGCGCGATAACCACTGCGCCACCGCTCCTCACGCTCAACTTGACAACCCAAAGACAAAGATCCCCCGTATAGCCTTGAACAGACTGTAGGGGCAAGTGCTGTTCGCGAGTAGCAGCAGAAGGCCGGCACGTCACACGAGGGTGTGGGTGGCCAACACCCCACGTGCACACAAACACGCGGCCTCATTAGTCCACTGCTGGATGAGTGTCCCCCCCACGCCGTGCGGGCAGTCGGGAATCATTTGAACATACTTCACCACGCTGGCTGGCCAGTGCACGTTATGTCTAACGGCTCAAGCCAGCTTTCCTGAGCAACATCTGATGAGGCCTCGCATTCTGGGTGATGTGGACATCCACCTCGAGCAAGCAACGTCGCACGAACGGCCTCTCCCAAAACACCCCACGCCTATGCACGTGTCACTTTAAATCAAAGTCCCAGACTCCCTCACTCCCCTTCAACAAAGACAGCAGGACAGGCAGGCTACCACCCCCCTCAGCCCCCACGTGCAATGTGCAGCGACTGTCTGGCTGTCATCACAGCTATCTTCACAAACCCGCACTGACCAGCGTGGTGAAGTATGGTCAAATCAACCCCCACCCCTCAACAGCGTGGGAAGACCCTCACCCAGTAGTGGACTGACACAAGTTAATGTGTATCATCATCATCATGTGAGGCATGATGATGATGCTGTGGAATTCTCGAGCCCCAATCCATAGGGCACACTGCTGCTGCCACTCACAAGGATATCTTCACAAACTCAGATTTTTCTAAACTGCGGGGGTCTCCATAAGCCCGCCGCCAAACCACCTAAGAAAAAAATATATATACGTAACTGGTGTTGTTCAAATATCGCAATAATGTTAAAGATTCTCGATTTTAAGTTTTCGTGACGGAAGCTTGTGTTGCCTCCGAAACGTCGTGATTTAATTTATTTTATTTTTTACCGACGTGACTTTACCGAAAAAAACAAAGAGTAAGGTTAAAGCTGACGTGCACATTACTCAAATTGGTCTTTTCCACGGAGCATCATCATTGTTCCCTCCCCTGGGTAAGCCCGCTTCATTATATAACAAGAGACTCATCAAGTTGTGACCTCCCTAAACCCGACTCAATAAATCGAGGTCTTCCAAAAGCTTAATTTTTCCGCATCACAGTTTTCTTTAACCATGGTACAGTATGTTATTTAATGATTGTTACATGAAACATGACTGTCATTACATCGTGGTTTTTGATCAAATCTTTCTCATCTTAAGTCCTCGTTTTATCCACCACATTCAACCCAAAAACGGTCTTCCTAACCCAGTTCAATCCTAAAAACATTTTGCCAAAAGATTGACCACTTTCAATCCGTTTTGTGGTCACTCATCGTTGGTCTCGAGTCCCCCTCATGGCACCCCACTCGCCACTGTCACCGGCTGTCTGGCCATGCCCGCCTATGGGATGGCGGTGGGGGGGGCGTTAGGGGTACTCAAGCAGGGCCCGGTTCGCAGTGACCCCTACACAACCCAGACGCTCCACACAGTTTCGGCGTGAACGCGCTTACCCGGTCACAGGCTGGGATGTCCGTCCGCGGAGAGACACGGGGAGACGAGCGGAGAGACAGGCAGACTCGGGGAGACACAGAAGGAGACACGGGGACACGCGTGGAGACACGGGGACACGCGGGGAAAGTGTCAACACGTCCAGACGACACCACAGCGGCGACCACGCATGAGCCCAACGGGAATCGATCCAACACGAATGTATAACGATTCGATCCCTATTGTATTGCGTTGCAGAGGAATCGAATCGAATTGGAGGCGGAGTTAAAATTCCTTAGGCGCTTTGTAATCGAATGGAATGGATCGAGTTAAATGCTACAGGGCTGTGTAATGTGAATGACAATTGTTGGTTGTAAACACAATAAGTTATTTAAAAAAAGACTAAGCAATACATTCGCAGGGATTACGTAATACTTTACAACACGCGTGTATCTTCGGAAGTTTTTAAACTTAACAATAACATTGTTTTTATATTTACTAGGTAAGCTCCAATGCGCTATAGAGATAGTTTATTAATATTACACGCTTTTATATAACTCACTGTTGTATCCTTAAATCTTGTAACTCAATTTTAGCCACTTCCCAATGTGGTATCGACTGCAAACTTGGTATACTTATGTCATACTGATGACAACACTATATGCTATCATTAAAATAAAATATATATATTTTTAAATATTATTTTTTGTATGTTATGTTTCGCCTTGGGTCTAATTGTCCACGCTCAACTGACGTTGGCTGTAAATCACCACGGTACCTTACGTTATGGCAAGCTTCGGGGCCACTTCCTGGAGTCGTGGAGTTCTTACATTACTAGTAGGGTACATTTCATTAAAGCGTGTTTAAAAAAAAGTTTTTTTTTTAATATTACTTATTTCAGAAGAGACCTGACCACAAATCATAGCTCAACGAAGTGGCTTATCACGTGGAAATTTATAGCAGACAAATACTCTAAACGTCATTGGAACCTCATTTGCCAGTAAAAAATATGATAATTGGTGTTTTACCCTTCTATCTGGCAACAAAACTGACACCTTTTTTTACAAGGAGTCATGTTTGCATAGACCACAATACCTTCAGTCATAATGCAAACAAAAAACATAACTCTGATAATGTATGCACTGTCCTTGAAGTTGATTGGTCCACACCCGAGACAGCTTTCCTTAGAGCCTAGTCTCACATGGTGTTGGACCAGATGACGCCAAAAGGCGCTCTAAACGTGTTGTTAGCTTCTAAAGGCAACTGTTTATAAAGGTTTGAAAAGAGGGCGTAGCCCAAATGTCATCAGCCAATGTTAATGTGAGTGGTGGGCAGCGACTGCGGCGGTGGAGTGTTTTCCACCTATCAAAGGGCTGCCAGGTGAAAATTAGCATGTCACACCGCGTGTGTTGCGATCGAAACGTCGTAGTTTTTTGTTATTTTATTTGAACCTATCTACATGACTTTACCGAAAGACCCAAAAAATATCAAGGAAAGTTAAACAACTAATCACTTCTGCAGGTTAAGTCCCCAAAGATCAACTCAGCGTTACACTACGGGCTCGGTCGTAGACCTATCCAAGCGTGAAGGTGTTGCAGCGTTGCACGTACTAAAGCGCCCCAGCCTTAACTAGACCACCAGCTCAAAGAACTGCTCGCGTGGCCATTGTGCCGGTTAGAAACCGCGGAATCAAAATTATTGGTGAAAATGTGGTCGTCGTTCCACCGACGGGCATCAGTGCAACACGGACTTTGTTGGTGTTGAACCGTTTATTTAGTGGTGCTGCTGCTTGGGCAGTGGTGTGCAACCACAACACATTCATTAAATAAAACTGGCTTACAAGGAAGAAAACATTTCGCGACTTTTCGGGCAATGACCATTCTTGATGGTCGATCAAGACGGAGGGGCGTTGCCCGACACCTCGCACCTCGCCTACATTTCATTTCTTTAAATTTGTATTCTACTCGAGCGGACAGAGGTAACGCACGAACGTGTTTACCCCTTGAACGCAGCCCAAAAGTAAAACAAAACAACAACTGCTGCTTTAAAGTCGTAGGTCCGGAGGACAATCGGTCGGTTTCGATCCGTTCCAATGGTTTTTGCGAAATCTATCCTGGAATCGATTCCGCTTCGTGATAATCTCCCCTCTGAATGTCGCCCGCCTCCTGCTGGCTCGAGCGTGCACGCGCTGGTCAATATGGACAAAAACAAACCCCTACACACATTGTTGTCATAATCAGAGTGCAGGGACTCCTCTACGTAAGTCGATTTGTTCGTAAGTTCAACTTAACTCCTGTCGATTCCAAACATATTGTACGGCGTGTCCACTAAACTCGGGGAATGGCTTTAAAAGTTGAATAATGTCCTATAGATGTTCATGCCACTGGTTCTGCATGTTCCGCAGATGTAGATGCAACCACCAACACCTATTGCACGGTGGTTGAACTTATGACTCTCAGTCCGAACGGGCATGCACGGACTCATGCAGCCAGCTATGCCTGCAGGGCTTTGGTGGTACATGTTGTTTATGTCGTTTATTGTGAAAATTCCGTCACAGTTCCTATGATCACTGTTTCATTGCTTTCATGGCTTTATTTTGGTGATTTCAAAAAGTGTTTTGGTTTGGCCATGTTTGTTTGTTGTAGTACGGAGTAAGACTGATGGCCTTAATCTAAGTTGGCTTGTGGTTGTTGTTGTTTGACTTGCATCCCACTGGGATTTTTGCACACAGCGTTGGTGTACGGTGCTTTTTCTGCAATATTTTGCTGTATTTTCTTGGATTTTCTGTTTGCACATAGTCACATATTCACTTTAACAAGATGTTTTCTTGTTCATTTTTTGTTTTTTGTTTGTTGCGGTTGCACCCGATTCAAGAGCCGAATGGCTCACAGGGCTATACCTAATAAATGAACTTGAACTGGACATACGGACAGGTTTGTTCGTATCTCTGAAAGTTCGTAAGTAGAGGAGTCCCTGTACGTATGTCAATCACACTGCCTTCGGTGGTGTAGACTACCTCTCAATGTGCTATGAAAAAGGGCCGTTACCTGAAACGTTGCTTTTTTATGAAGACAGTGTTATTATATAAACTCTCATTATTAATTGGCTGAAAACTTCTGAACATTAAACCAAATTATAAAAAATAAGAATAGGTTTTACCATTTTTGGCAATAAAACATGTGTTTTGATGTTCAAACACCAAATACATCCACATTTCAAGGCATCAAGTCGATGTTAACCACACGTACTTGTGGCAAACATGCAAACAAACATGCTCTTATTATAATATATAGAGCATTGCCTTTTAAACTGATTGGCCTACACCAGAGACAGGCTTCTTCACGGCCTTGTCTCACCAGAGTAAGACCAGATAAGCCAACAGGCGAACGATACAAAGGGGCCGTCCATAAATGACGTCACGCACCTAGGGTGGGGGGGGGGTCAGACATTTGTGACGATGTGTAACGAGGGGGGGGGGGTGTTTGAGAAATGTGACGTCACGTGAAAATGCGCAACTTTGAATAAATATAGACTTGTTATAACACACTAATTGTTATAACAGCACTCCTACAACATCAGAGTGCAGCGCCACATTAAATCCGCAATTCAATGACAATAGTTTAAAGCGATTTGAAGCATGTTTTATGGTTTTGGGGGGGGGCAGAGCTTTGTGACGTCATATTTGAGGGGGGGTCTGACCTTTTGTGACGCCGTGTGCCGAAGGGGGGGGGAGGTCAAAAATCGTCTAACATCACCTACGATAGGGGTTTGCGATCTCACTCTTTACGATTCAGCGTCCTTTATATAACGAGGCGAGCAGAATTCACCGAGATGAAATTGGGTAATGGATGAATTTGCGTCTGCAACACATGGCTGAGAGTTGTTTGGCAGGGGATCTGTCATCACTTTAATTAGACGCATTTTTTTTTACAAGTTTCTCTGCAAACGGAAAATAAGTGAGAGCTGTCATTGTCACGCTTTTCTCACTGTCCCCCCCAAGAAATGTATTTTGAGCGTTATTTTTTTCCAATACATATTCTCGAGGATTCAAAGAATATTCTGGCGACAGAATTACATTAACAGGAGCACAAATTAAAAAAGTTAGAGCAATGTCAAATTAACCGTGGTCAGTCTTTTGTATTCGGTACTCCCAGCTCTTGGATGTCGCTATCTCTTATTGTAATTATATCTTCAGAATTTCTTCTTCCGCCGGTGTAATTAAATAATTATTGATTACACCCAGTTAAATTTCGATTTAAAGCTTTCGTGACTGCAGGGATTCATCTTCTTGGTTCTTTCGGTAAAGTCACGTAGAAGGGAAGTAATAAAATAATAAAAATAAAACATAATAAAACAATTCTCACGACGTTTCGGCCACAACGCAAGCAGCCGTCCTCAGGTGAAAACCAGGTCCGTCGAGGCGACAGAGTCTGAATGAAACAGCACACGAGCTTGGAGTATATATATATACTCCAGTATATATTCCAGTATATATATATACTCCAAGCTCGTGTGCTGTTTCATTCAGACTCTGTCGCCTCGACGGGCCTGGTTTTCACCTGAGGACGGCTGCTTGCGTTGTGGCCGAAACGTCGTGAGAATTGTTTTATTATGTTTTATTTTTATTATTTTATTACTTCCCTTCTACGTGACTTTACCGAAAGAACCAAGAAGATACACCCAGTTAGTTTCGATAGCAACGGCCCGCAGTAGCCACTAACAACAACAACAGAGTTATTGTTGGGGTAGAGAGGAGCCCAGCCAGCAGCCAGCCAGGCAACTAAAAGCATTTTTTTTAGTTGTACAGTAAAATAATAGCTGCGGGTAATCGTACAATTTCAAATTTTATTGGGGCTTTTTACTCGATGCCAATGTTGTTATTATTGGAAATATTCGGGTCACGATTTTTATTTTAAGTCTCTGAACAGTTACGAGGAATACCCCAAACTCATCGCTTCCTATCCCCCCTCCGCCCCCGATCTAAATGTGTCTAATGAACATGGGGTCACCAACGAAACACCACGTGAACGACCCGACGCAGAAGATCCCTTGCCTTCGATTTTCCCCGAAGCTTCTGGGCCACAACTCCTGACCCGAATTACCGCACAATCCAAAGCAGCAGCCGATGCGCATAACTGACGACGATGATGACGCACCGATGGAAATTTTATTTTAAAAATCTCCAGCAGTTGCGCTGCCAGTGTG